CTAATTATTACTATAAATTCAGTGGTCTCTCAATAATCGGACAACCAAACAAGACCCCTTGAAATTCATCCAAACTTTCAGATAATCTAAAAAAAATTATTAGAACAAATGACAGTACATTTTCACAGAATGAACTGTCTTGATACCAAAATCATTAATTAATTACTTTAAAATTTCTATTGACTTGCCTAATTTTTAATTTTAAATTAAAGTTTATCCCAAGCCAATAATAAAATTTAGTTCTGAAACTCCAAATACCATCCAAGTACTGTACATTATCTAAAAAGACCCATGGATAATTTGGGAAAAAAAAAAAAACACTTTTGTTATGCTAGAAAATATATACTGAACATTAGAAAGCCAATCGACATTCCAAACTATGATTCAGATAGATTTTCTTTTGGTTAATTTGCACATTTACATAATCAAGACTTTGTACATGATAGAGACTGGTAAGGATAGGATGGAGAGGTGCAGGAGTATTGAAAAAGAGATACAGTGCTACTTCAGTTATCTAAATCAATTGCTACCTCAAAATGTCCGAACAACATAAAAAAATCGGAACAATCAAAATCATATCCCAATTTTTCTCCAGCACACACTACTGGTGAATTTCATCACGCAAAATTGCAATTTTAATCTCATCGCATGATTGTCACTTCCAGGAGAACCTGTCTATAGTCAGAGTTAACCTTCATTCACAATATTTCCCAGGATAAAGCCATTAAAGCTTATACAGTATTTGAAAGGCATGGCTATGGCCCCTACTAATGGTGTAAATGAACCAGGCTCATCGAGTTTCCTGCATCCAAAATTTTTAACTCTATTTTCTATGAAATGTCTTGGAAACACGTTCTAATAAATAATTACAATACGGTCTCAAAACCATATTAAAAAAAAATTTTGCCACCTCCACTGCACCAAATTCAAATCTCTACTGAAAGAAACTTAAAACAAACTAACCACTTTCAAAATAAAATCAAGCCACACAATTTCTTCCAAAATGGGCTACTGACTCTCCTACACTTCAAACTGTTCTTCCGAGTTAAGCTCTTCTATTAAATTTTGTTCATTAACCCTATAAACAAATATTTAAAGAGATATGGGTCAATATTCAAAACTTTACACTCTAAAAATCATAATTACCCATATGATTTTTTTTTATACTGGAACCATTTTTTTCCACACCCAAACATCTTTTGAATCATCAAGTTCACCTATGAAATATCTTGGGAACCTGCTCCAATTAATAATTAAGGAGAAATGGTCTTATAACCATTTTCTAGAATCGCACCAAAACTGCATAAATAATGGAGTTCACCTTGCGAAAATAGTATGATCCAGGTACTGAGGGGCCGAGACTCGTACACGTTTGTCCAGATAATCGGAGAACCTGAATAATCTGAGAATCTGGATAATGTGGTTTCCACTGTTATGGGAAAGACACAAATAGAGAGGAAGAGGTGTGGAATAAACATCCTTGATGCTCAACAGAAAGATGGTGAATGGAGACAAGTTAAAACAATGTAGTGTACAAAAGAATGTGTGACGAGTAATACTAATCACATGCGAATTAATAAAATACAGTACTGTATGATAGTCAATAATAAAATATAAAGGGTGGCAAAAGTATGCTACTGAACAGTACTATAGTTCAATATAACATTAACTAGGAAGAATGATTAACTAAGGAGAGGTGCCACCGTGAAAAAATTAAGACTTCGGAATGCAAAGTTTAGAACCTGTCTATTGTAATCATAAACTTAATCAGTGGACAGATTCACAGGTACAAATGATAACCTGAAAGGAGAAAAGTTAAAGCTCTGCTGAATCAATACATTTAAAAAGAAGTCTCACCCATGTGCCTCACATCAAGTGGGGGGGAAATAAAAAAAAGGTCTAGCGAGGGGCTAGTCAACGCACACAATAGGGGAACTCATACAGGCGAGTGTGAAGGGAAGTAACGTTAGCATGCAAACACCTTCTAAGAAAGAGGAATTACTGTATGTGTGGATTAAGTGAAGTAAAGAAAAGGAGAAAATGACAACACAGACTATAGTGAAAGCTACTACCAAGAAAAAATGCAGCAGTTTATCATCGAATGAATGCAACATGTAATAGTAAATTTAGGAAACATAAGGTAAATGGAAAATTAAAAAAAAAAAGACTCAACAATTGTAGAGGTAAAATCAACCCGTTCTCGCAAATTCGTAAAGTCAATATTGACTTGTTAACTACGTGCATGGGTGATATACTAAACATAATAGATACCCTTAAAAACATTCATAGAAAACACCGACCTAACCTAACCTTGTTAGTATCTTAAGATAAGCATCTTATTGCTTCGTAATTACAATTATTACTTAACCTATACCTATTATAGGTTAGGTAATAATTGTAATTACGAAGCAATAAGATGCTTATCTTAAGATACTAACAAGGTTAGGTAAGGTCGGTGTTTTCTATGAATCTTTTTTAAGGGTATCTATTATGTTAAGTATGTCACCTATGCACATATTTAATAAGTCAATATTGACTTATTAAATTTGCGAGAACGGGTTGGGTAAAATATAAACAATTTAGAAAGTACAGTATGTGGATGTATAAGAAACAACAAATACAGTATGCTAATAAAGTAATTTGTTAATGACAACAAGATATAAGAAAAAATATCCATGAGAAGCATAGTCAATGGGCAGAACAGTGTATATGAGCTATATAAAAACTGTACCATAAAACTGCATGCTGTAGTGCAATCAGTATGGACTGTGAGCTCACAAACATGAATAATGTGCTAGAAATGATAAATGTGGAAAATAAAGTAAGATGGTGCAGCTATTGGATAGGTCTGAGAACACAAGGAAGGTTGACTTAAGGGGCAAAGCAATTATGTACTTTAATATTAACAAAACTGATTAAAAGAAGTGCGTATCAAATATTAATTACTGTTATGGTTGGAAATATCAACAAAATGTTGATATTATATTTCCAACATACTGACAAATCAAAGAAAGGAAAAAATACTTTAATTCCCAAAAAAGTTAAATTAAAAAGTAGAAGATCTAGTGAAGAGAGAATACAGGAAAGAGTGTATAAGGGAAGTGACAAACGAAAAGCAAGGTGATGAAACAAATCTCGGATATATACGAAAGTAATAGTCAATAGAAGACTGTGTAGAAAAGTACCCAGACTTTTGGAACATGTAGAGGTCTTTTACAAACTACGAAGCTGAATGATATACGTATAGCCAATATGAGCCTAATCTTCAAGCAAAACTGAATTAATTCACTGCTATAATAGCCAAACAATCATGCACAATTCTTCAGTATGTGTTATGTGCACTGTTAAGTCTTCAATATGTAATGGTAAGATGACTGTCATTAAGGAGAGAGTATAAGGAGCATGGTAGCACCCTCGGTCAGTGTGTCAAATACAACACCTTACAAAACGAAAACCAAAAAAAAGATTAACACATCTTTCTTTAGGACAAAATTTTTGCTAGAAACTTCATGAATTCTCTACACCTTTGTACACAAATTAATTAATCCTGAAATGATTAGCTAAAATTAAGCAAGTACTAAAGCTTCACAATTACTTAATTACTTATGTGCATGTTTTCATAGTTGTTCACACACTACGTGCCATCACTAGCTACAGGTCAACATATAATCAACATTAAAAGCAAAGCATTAACTCTAAAATGAGTTCCTTGTGAGCTTCACATACACTTTCACAAGACACCCATGAACCAAGCCAACACATACAATGGGTTTTTATAGGTAGTGGAAATTTAATTTTTCTTAGATTATCATTTAATGGCTGGCAACAGTGCTTACAATGAAATGTTAACCAAGACTTTTAGTCATTTACTTGACAATGGTCCATGACAGGCCAAAAAATTGCAACATTATTATTTTTCATATGCGAGTTTTTTAATTACAAGACATGGACATGATTATCAATAATAACAAGGGTGAAGTATCTCTTCATAGTTGCTCAAGCCATACAAATGACAACCTGCAAACAGTGATCTATCCGAGCCTAAATTTCAGGTATTACACAATTTATTTATCTGTACATATTATATATACCAGGTATAGCAATACTTTAATTATATATAAGAGTTTCTACTATTATAAACCAGAGAGGAAGATCTGGCTTCACAGGCATGGGTACTAACAACAAGCAATACAGTGCTAATAACACTGACACATAGCTCTTGAAATTTGTGACGCAGTTCTCAAGAGGTCGGATAAAAAGTAGGAACGAACATTTGAAAACTTGAACAAGAATATTCCCTAATGTTGCTTGACAGCTCTGCTGACCTCGTGGCATTACAAAACTAAGAAAATACAAATTTGGTAAACAAAGTAACTATGTTCTGTATAATACTGTACAAAATGTGTATACAAGGTTTTGGCAATGTATATACTGTACTGGTTTTAAATACTGTATTGCACATTCAGATTACGAGACAAACAAATCGGCTATTGCTAATAGCTAATAATATATAAATTCTGGCACTATTAACCAAACATATTGTGATTAGGAGTTGCCATTAATTTTACTTTGTTGACACTGAATGACACACACAGTCTCAAGCCCCAAGACTAAACTATTTTTGGAAGTTTTATAAATCCTACTTTAACTTTAATTTGCAACTCCAGACTGTTTTGACTAGTTTTTTCCGTTTGTTAAACTGCCATATTGCTTTATTAAGAAACGTTCATGTCAGTTTCCAAATTTTATCCAGCAACTTCCTGTAGTATTTAAGATTGTCATTTTCAATTTGCATGTAAAATTATCTGAATCAAGAAAAAATAAAATGTCAAAATATGACAAAAAAATAAAAATCTGTTTTATTAGATAATGTGAGGCTGCAGGAAGGGCTACCAAAGGGACTTTACACAGCACCCAGATATAAAGCTGCTTAAAAGTGTACTCTCACTAAATTACTATACATAATATGCATTCTTTAGTGTGCTCTTTCTCCTAGTTACCTTCGGAAGATTGTCCCTCTAAACGCCATTGGTCATGAAAGTAGAATGTCAGATTCATATAAAACACAAACCATCAGCACTATTGAAAAAAATAAAAACCAGATAGTGAAACTGGGACAAGATATGTATCAAAGATATATATAATTCATTCATGAAATTGTCTTCTGTAATAAGAATTCATTACAGCAATAGATAACAGAACTACAGGCACTCACCTTCAGGCGCTGCAGGTTGTAGAGCACATGCAATAAAGACAAAGACATTTGGTTAGAGCAAAATATTACTCACAATGGATGCAGATTAAATTGTGAATGTTTTTAAGAATGTGCCGCAGCTCTGGCAAAGTTGCCTACCCAATAATACAGGGGCAGAGAGAAAAAAAAAAAAGAATATCAGCCATTATCCAGATGGTATCTTTACATATGTTTTGTGAAGGGACAAAGTTAAAGGCTATTTGTTCTACATAATGGCTGTAGAAAAGAGAAAAGCATAACGTTCTAGTCTAAGATTAACAATGGAAGCACAGCATCATTACGAGATATTGCTTTGATAGAATTAACCAGTACATAGCCATAAATGAGAAAGATACACAGCTTTCAAGTTCCTAAGGGCATGAGCCATGTAAGCAGCAGTAGATGAAAGATGCAACTTTGCAATGGTAGATTAGATAAAAGTGAGGTAATCAGAACTGACGGGAATAAATAGCGTACCTTCAAATTACCTCAGGAAATCTTATACAAGGCCAATTTAGCGCACACACACAAAGATGAAAATCAAGTCAAGATTCAAGAATTAAACTGGAAAAATCCAAGCTATACCAATATGTAGAAGGATCATGGCAAGTGCAAATTGAAGTCGACAGCATAAGACAAGAATGAACTAGATGTACTGTGAAAAATCATCATTGAAGAAATATAATGGTAAGGAAACGGGTTGGGAAAAGTGAGAACAAACATTCAGACAACCACAGGTGATGAAGACAGAGCCCATACACAAGAATGAAGACTTCTAGAATGAGCTCACCGACAAGCAAAACTAAATTTGTAGAGAAACATTTGCACAATGAGTAGTCAAAAACTACAGATACAATCCAGATATAATTAGGGGGTAAACCACTAGAAAAAGACCAATAAGGTGACCCATGCAGAACCCACACTGAAAATTAGAGGTACTGCAAAATTCAATATGATTAAGAAACCTGTCCATAGGAGGGATTCAAAGAATTTTTTAATCAAAGTGAAAGCATCAAGATCAATGAAGGGTTGGAATAGCCATTTTACTTAGATGCCATATTGAACCATCGAGTTCTTATAAAACAGAGATAAAGCTTTACAGAATTAACTAGAGTGAATATGGCAAGCCAACATATTCAACTAGGTAAAACCCACCAACAATACAAGAGATGTATACCATCTCAACCACACAATTTCAAGGAGTTTAATGCAGAAAAGAAATAGGATCAATTGGAGAAACAGGAGGATCCAGAAATATCTAAAGTGGAGTAGTGCGACAGACCTGGTACTGTCAGAGAAAGGCAGCTATAACCTAGAGCCTGCAGAATGAAAAATTTGTATGAAAGAAGACTGGTGCAAATTTAACAAGATAATTTTAGCAGATAGGCAAGAAAAACATATGAATTGTAAGATGATGTACCAGAGCTGAAAGCCTCAAAATATTGCCCAAGAGCTTAGGAACATTACTTATAAAATTAAGTTCAGATGTGAAAGAAAGGAAGGAAGGAAGGATAAAAAACAAGAAACATTGCACTATACTGGCAATGATCAAACTCGGTGGCATGACTAACACAAAGATGTGCAGTGCAAAGAAAGCTTTAATCACTCACCATACATGAGACAAAGGTCTATGATCAGTCAAGACAGCATAATCAAAATGCCAAATGCACCGAGATGGTTAGAGGATTTAGGAAAAAAGTGCTATGGAATCAAGAGACAGAAGAGGTTGTGACCTCACAATTCCAAAGGTCCGGCAACAATGCAATTGTAAGGGAAGTAGCAAGTTGAGAAGAAGAGCACATGCAAGATAAACCAGAATGCACAAAGGTTAATGAACGAACTGTTCCTGATAACTAGGAACAGACAGTCAACCATTTATTTCCAAGAATAATGGGATGTAGCAGAAGGCTTCCAAAAGATGACTCCATTAGGAGTGAAGATGAAAGATTTATATATTTCTGTACAAGACAATCAATGAAATCAGAATAATTATGGGGACTCAAGGAGCAATAAATGAGATAGATTGAACGATTTAAGAGAGAAAACTTGAATAAAAGTAAGTGTGTTTGGAGACAAGACTTGAGAAATTTGAAATGGCAAACGTATGAATACAAGCCAAGATGCCACCCTTTTAAGCCAAGACAAAAAGGGAACAGTTGAAAATATCAGATTTTGAATACTTTGTGTTGAAAAGCCCCTTTTTTCTAAGAAAAGAACACTGCTGTCTCCCTATGACAAGACCCTAATATTCCCCTTTGTTGAGTTTTAAGTCATGGGAGGTCAATACACTGCACTGATCGTCTCTGACCACACTGGTGCTAGAAAGAGACTGGATAATACTCATTCAGCCCAAAATGACTTCCAGAGGGTTCATTACTAACATATTAACCCATAGGCCTAGGTACCTTCCTACTGAATTCTCCCCGATTCAGTTAAGTGCAGGCAGATGCCATAATTGAATTATGTGCAATATCCTTAGAAATAGCTTCAATGTGCACTGGACTTTTGTATAAGTAGACATGTCTCACATAGGTGTATACAAACAGCTGTCGTTTATCTTCTCTCGAGGTTACCACTACATCTGCAATTTCTTGGGATCGTTACAGGACACGAGAATTCATCAACTTGGCACTTGGCTGTTTGGCCGAGTTATCATATTTGCATGGAGGTGCATGCTGCTAACACCACGTCTCAACTTTATGCCAAGTTTTTTTTTTTTTTTTTTTTTTTGGTTGTATTTTATATTTTGAGTAAATTTACCACATTACATTTATTCTTGGTTGGATGTAGTCCCATTCTATGAAAGTGAGAAATGGGGTAATAATGTATGTATGTGTATATATGTACTCACCTGGTTGTGCTTGTGGGGACCGAGCATTGGCCCCACCTCTCTACCATCAATCAACCGAGTATGTATAAATCATAATCATACATACAATCAAATGAATGTATGTATATTAATGTCATAATTAAGACAACTCATAGGTCCCTTTTACACAATCAGGTGTCTTCGTCATGCAACTGCATGTCTGGGACCTAGGTTTTGGTATAAGACACTGACTGGTTTGTTTCCCAAGCTGTTTTGTCATGGCTTTTCAGTTCTGGGGATTTGCATTATCCTGTATGTAGCTAGTAGGTAAAGACCCTGTTCTAAGAACACAAGAATATGGTAGCACTGCAACAGGCTTCTTAGTCAATACTAAGCAGTTCGTCTTCTCCAGTCTTTAGCACCAGCAGGGACATTTGAAAAGATTCCTGTTGTGATGTGAAATTCACACCCACCCTGACTCTTCCAGTTTGTACTCAGGGGACCAGGGATCTCATCTTAGGAAGCAGCCTAGTGCTCTACCTCAGTTTAAGCAACAACAACAAGAAAGTATTATACAGAGTAGTTAGTTGAAAGGCTATGCATGTTGCATACATCAACTGTAGTTATCAGTAGAAAAATTAAAGCCATAGGTAGAATCAATACTAATGCCAGCAGCAACCATCTTCCCAGTAACAGCAGACAATCCTTAACACAGTGACTATAAATTACAAATACTGTACACACACATTATTATTATTAATTTTTAGCAGTTCAAATACTTACTAATTTCAGATACCGTATAGTATCTGCAATCAACATACTTTCCTGCTATACCCTAATGTATGTATAAAGGTTGTTGTTGCCACGTCCATCTTATTTCAAGTCGATCTTTGCCAAAGAATGCTCAACATTTTAGAAGGGTTGTTATTCGATTGCATTTTTGGCCTTTCAGTAGGAACAAAACTAGATGATCATTCAGCACCAAGACATTTTGACTATTCTTCTCTTAAAACCATTTCTTTATTATGTTCAGACTTTTATATTAATCTCATTTGTAAAACACCACCTCTAATTTTATGCGATGTTGTCCTGTCAACTGCTTTAATATTTTCTGAATTTTCTATTTAAATATACATCACTATGTACTTTCATATATAGGACCATATATTAAATTATCAACTCTTCATCCAAACTTTCACCAAGCAATTATTCATTCTCATTATCTTTTATATAAATTCAGTTACTGAAGCAGCAAAATATATTATAATGTTACTTTAGTTTTGCTTTACCAATTACCAGACGATTCCCATACTAGTACGCAAAAACATCAGTAGAACGATGGCCAATTTCTGTATATTTAAGTACAAGACAGTTGTCACCTACTTTGATTCTAATCCATATTTGATCATCTTTCACCCACATGGATCAAAAATGAAATGTTCCCAAGAAAAATATATAAAAATATCCTACAGTATTATGGTGACATTATATTATGGTGAATATTATATTATGGTGTAAATATTAGAGCATTACTTTTTTCAGCTTTCTCATTTTGCAAGTACACTTTGTACACCGTCACTTGTAATTCTCTTATAGGCTATATATATATTTCATACGTTTGGCAAAAATCGGTCCCAAGAGGGTAACCAGGGTTAAAACACCATCATATAAAGTTCTTTTCCTTCATATAAGCACACAAGTGTCTTTTAAAAAGTCTATTTCTATCAGCAAAAATTATCCTGCGAGACTACACCAGTAGCATGGTGCCTGTCATAGAGCTGTATCCCTCTCCAAGAACATCTGTACAGTAAACCGTTTCTTCCATGATTGTGGCGTAACATCCTTTCACAAGCAGCCGACTTCCTGTCCCCATTGAGGATATCAGAGATGGTGGCCCTCGGGTAATATCAAGCAAGAGGGCTGGATAGCTTAACTAGAAAACTTAAAGAGCAGTAAAAGTGAAATTTTTAAAATAGTGTGTTTCATATTTATAGATTGTTTTAGTGTGTAATCAAACACAGATGAACTGATTCCCTTTCTCACTCAAGGGAGCTAAAATCACTGTCACCCTACTATCCTAGAGACAAACTATGAAATTATGCAATACTTTGACATCTCTCCTTACTGAGGTTATCAGCTCACTACCCTGCCATTAGTAATTCAGTACTATACATGCACTGCTACATTGACAAATCTTTTGCATTCTCAAAGCTCTCTGATGACAGCTGACACCAACCTTGAGGACATAGAGCCTGATAGGGAACATGAAATTACCAAGGCAAAAATGATTCTGATGAATTAATAAAGACATCTCAAGTACAAACTATGCACAGTGAAACATTTACACGTCAAATTAAACAGAGAACATACTGTTCATTAACTATTTTTATTATAATACTGAACTGCGTAAAACATTAATTAAAATGTGAACGATACATTTTTTAACGTCTTAAGATAATTAAATTTAGCAAATTGCCAGGTATGTCATGACCCATTATTTGCAAGGTAAAAAAGTTTATCAAAGATTTGCAGAGCACCCTTATTTTCCCCATTATAATGTCAAATACTGTACATGACATCCCAATACAATACTGTACTGTATTAACTTTGGGAGTGAAATGCCATTTTTCTTGTTACAAATCATTCTACATGGTATCCATAAACTAATTTGGAAAGCCTTCTGCACTATTATCCTTCACACCATAATGTACCATAGTTTAAGGTTCATATGTTCTTACAATGTACCTGTTAATATTCTTCAATTTTTACTACAAATTACCTACTTAAAATTATCTGTTGGAATAAGGACCTGCCCAAAATGATATGCGTGTTAGTGGCTTTGCAATAATGTAAAATCATCAATGCTATGTTCTCTCACAAATCGAATGTACCTTCTTATATAAATAAATAAATAAATAGATAAATAAATGTAAATGACAAATTCTGTATATATTATACATACATACAAACATACACAAATGAAGACTATTTGCGTACTGACCTCCCGTTGCCACTTCTTCTGGGGGTCTATAAAACGACAGACCCAAGGACACAACTGCTGCTACTTGGAGAATGATAAGGGTAACATCTTGGAGAGCTTCCCATACTAGCATAAGGAACGTTTTTGGAGGCTTCGGAGGTATGGTGTTCGACCCAAATGTTTGCCTCCGATGTTCCATATCGCTAGCATTTCCACTCAACCCTGTTAATGAGAAATCATGTAAGGGGGCAGTTTGGCTCAATTTAAAGTTTCTGAATTTCAGACTAACATCGATACATTCAAAGAGTAATAATATCCAAAGAAAAAAAACTGCCAAGGGATAAAAAAAATCATGCTCACAGAATGAACAAACATGCACATTAACTACAACACTGTGCATCATAACTAGGAGACTAAATTATGCACTTTAGGCTATCTATAGAAAGGAAAGATGGTTGACCACACAAGGAAAAGCAACAGTTCAGTTAACTAGGCTCGGGACCTTAAAGAAGGATATTATTAACAAAGCTTAATGGTCTCGTTACAAAATGTCTAAAATTAATGTTGCCGACAATGTAAATTTGTTAGCATGTGGGACAATTTTCACTGTTAATAATATATAAACAGTTTATAAATAATTATGATAAAATTCATTCTAATAATAGACCTAGAGTGGTGGATGTGAAAAGTCACATTTTACCATAATCCAGCAATCCTTGAGTGAACAGTTCATCCACACATGGATGAATGATACATGTACTGTAATTATTATTTTAAATCTTATTAAGTATATTAAACAAGTAAAATACTTTATAATAAATTAGTATCAGTAATTTTCTGATCAATAGAAATGATACATCTACCATCTCTCTCAAAACATGCGTGTTGTTATTTTAAATAATTGTACACATGTTAGATTTGACATAAAATATCTGTCTGTAAAAACACAGGCTATCACTTTTAGCTGAAGATTCAATATTACTAAAAATTGCACAGCAACCAGCAAAATGCAAGATTTCTTGCCATCATTTGATTACATGAAATCATTAATCAATTATTATTAAGTCAGAGTGCTAATGAAATTATAACGTCTATAAAATTAAGAATTTAATAAATCAAATTGTTAGCTGGCGACGCCCAAGGTAGTGGCTCCCACAGTCTGTGGCACACTCTTACAACGCCGGGCTGAGGGTCAATGGTACATGCTTAGCTCATTTTCGGCCAGAAACTGTCAAGACAATGCCACAAAAGATAGGGTTCATTTGCTTGCTCCTGGTGTCTGTCTGTATGCGTACAGTATTAGATGCTGGTGGATTGGTGTGATACAAATGACAGACCTTTGTTCCTTTCCCTACAAATTATGTCAAGCCAGTGTCAAATCAAAAGGTACCACTCCAAAGCACTACCGACATCTTACCAACCATTGATCTATAAAATACTAGCACGATTCTGTCCTTTACATTCAGATTATAGTCTCCTTAATATAGGTGTTGAGAGGCTGACATTTTTAACCCATTGATTGACTTCATCAAGATTGTGTACTGCAGCATACAATTTATATTATTACAAAGTGTGATGAGTACTAATATTATTGTATCAAAGGCTGTAGATAGATTCATGTACACTAGTCTTGTTTTTTATGAAAGACTCAGGCTGGTTATGAAGTAAAACAACATAATAACTCAAGTCGAGTGATGTTGGATTGTGTAAAATTGTAAGTGCATTTTGTTGGTCAAGCTAGTTGAGCCTTAATTAAATAATTGATTCACAGTGATATGGATTGATTGATTGATGAAGATTAGGCCACCCCAAGAGGTTACATGGGCATGAATAGCCCATAAAGTGATATGGAGATACATTACTGTGATAAAATTTATACCAGTATGTAATTAGTAGAGTAACTGTGACACTTTATTACAGAAGTGAAGTCAAGAAAGTAACAAGAGGCTTCTCAGTAGTCGGTCACTTTAGATCCAAGTACTCACATTTTTTATTCAACTAATCACAGATTAAGTCAAGTAAGAAGTCGCAGTCTGATCCATTTTGGTCTATCTCAACAGTGGTTAGTAAAGAAGTTTTTCCATAACTAGTATAGCAGTTATTAAAATTTCATGTGCTAAAATCTTAACACGCATTGACAAATCTTTAACTTCAGCACTAATAACAAAAACATTGGTCCCATAAAAATCCAAAATTCATGTAACCTATATATTAAGTACAGTACACAGATCTCTGCTTATCTTTCCAATAGGAAGTCAAACCAAAATAGATTGGGCAATATATCCCAATGCAACCATAGGGTTCAGCTCTAGGGGATAGAACACTTAAAATTATGTCTACTTCATATTCCATGGCCAAAAAAAAAAAAGGGGGGGATTTAAAAAGCCACACAAAACTGTCTTTACATCAAAAGGAGTACAAAATCCTCTTTACTAGGTAAAAGTAAAAATTAAGAAATGTTGGACCGACAAGAGTATTTCTGTTAGTGGGTTTGGTATGTGGTCAGAAATAGTTTCTATTTCTGTTAGCTATTATTTGCTCGAGCAGTACTTCATCAAGTAAAGCATGCTTAACAGAGGGCCCCTAATGGATGTGGGCTAAAACAAAGATTTGAAATTTAAATACAAGCCCAAAGAAGTGAGGTGGCACTTATCTGCACTCTATTCATTTATAGGATTCATGGTTATTACCATACAATGAAAAACTGCAGTTAAACTGGAGATCAACAGATTATGAACAGGGAGAGAGGGAACGAGACTCATTGCCTCACAATGGGGCCTTACCTTGCAGTTACCTTGCGATGATTTCAGGGCTCAACGTCTCCGCGGCCTGGTACTCAACCAGGCCTCCTCATCACTAGACTGGTCAACCAGGCTGTTAGACGCAGCTGCTCGCAGCCTGACGTATGAATCACAGCCTGGTTGATCAGGTATCCTTTGGAGTCATTTATCAAGTTCTCTCTTTAACACTGCTAGGGGTCGGCCAGTTATGCACCATATGTGTAGTGAAGTGTTTTGAAAAGTCTCGGGCCTCTGATGCTGATTTCTCAGTAATTTCACTGGTACTCTTTCAGAGTACTTATGGCACCTCTGCTTTTCAACAGGGTTATTCTACACATCCTGCCATGCCTTCTGGTCTCATGTTGTATTATTTCTGTGTACAGGTTTGGGACCAGCCCCTCTAATATTTTCCACGTGTAAATTATTGTGTATCTTCCACCTGCGCTAAAGAGAATACAGATTTAGGCATTTTAGTCGGTCCCAATAGTTTAGACGTTTTACCGAGTGGATTCTAGCAGTAAAGGGTCTCTATACGCTCTCCAGGTCAGCAATTTCTCCAGCTTTGAAAGGGGCTGTCATTGTGCAACAGTATTCCACTCTAAAGAGCACAAGCATCTTGAAAAATATCATTGGAATAACATCTCTAGTTTGAAAGGTTCTTGTTATCCAACCTGTTCTTTTTCTTCCAGTTGCAATGGCTACTTTATTGTATTCTTTAAAGGTAAGGTCTTCTAACATGAGTACACCCAAATAATTTACATTGCTTTTTCATTCTATGTTATAATTTGACTGCGTTTTGTACATGGTTTCCATTTTTATATTTTAATTTTTTTTCAGTAACTCATGAGTTGGAACTTATCTTTATTAAATACCATATTATTATCTGCAGTCCATCAAAAGACCTGATTTACATCTGATTGGAGGTTTGCTGTGTCCTCTATGTTGTCTACTCTCAAATTTTAGTGTCATCTGCAAATGATGATACTGTACTATAGATTGTATCCTTGTCTACATCCAATATGAGGATGAGAAAAAATACTGGAGCAAGCACAGTACCCTGGGGGACTGAGCTCTTCACGGTTGATGTTCCGGATTTTATTTTGTCGACTATTACACCTTGGGTTCTGTTAGTCAGGAAATTGTAGATCCATCTGCCTATTTTTCTGGTCATTCCTTTTGAACACATTTTGAGTGCAATAACACCCTGGTCACATTTGTCGAAGGGAACGAGTATTGTCGCACTTGCAATGGGACGAGGGGACGAGCCTCTTTACTCGCAACGGGACGAGCCTATTTACTCGCAATGGGGCGAGGGGATCGAGCCTCATTCCTCGCAATGGGGCGAGGAAACGAGTCTCATTCCTCGCCCCATTGCGAGGAAACGAGCCTCATTACAATGGGGCGACTTAAAACTGGTCTATTTAATTAAGTGATATAACCAGGCCACTTAAATCTTGAATTTAAAACTGCCCATTTAATTTGCATGTGGGACTGTGAATAATTTGTGATGTTTCAAAGGTGACATATTGTAAACTCTGCATCTTTATTATGCAAATGGAAAGTTGAGTACATATTGATACCAACATATATACATAATTAACATTCTAGAATACGTATGTTCTATTTTTGCATGGATTTGCATTCTTATTTGAAGTCCATTCTGTGTGCAAGGATTCTATATCTTCTTGAAATATAATAAGTGTGAATGATTAATAATCTCTTTGATGTGTAAATATTTATAGGTGAATACTGCATTACTCACTCCTGGTGAGGGTGAATAATGTATTACTCAAACTTGGCAGGATTGAATACTGTATTAATCACGACTACTGGGACTGAACAATGTATTACTCACCCCCTGTTGGGACTGAATACTACATTATTCCCCCTCCTAATGGGGCTGAAAACTACATTACTTATCAATAGAGGCGTTAAATATTGCACTACTCACCAACAAGGGATGAATACTGTATTACCCATCACTGGTGGAGGATGATTTCCCTCTTTATGGCTCTACTCACCACGAGGGGCAGGGGTACCCGCTACTCCCCACGAGGGGCAGGTGTACCCGCTACTCCCCACGCGGGGCAGGTGTACCCGCTACTCCCCCACGAGGGGCAGGTGTACCCGCTACTCCCCCACGAGGGGCAGGTGTACCCGCTACTCCCCACGAGAAGTACTCACCATTGGTAGGAGATGAGTAGAGTTTCTTGGTGATCTCGAGGGTACTGCCATGCTCCCGGTGGATGAGTTCGATACCCTCTTGGCCACGGGTCTCCATGAGCTCCCGCAGCTGCCGCAGAGTGATGCCATACTGCGCTGGACGACCGTCTATAGTAGCCATCCTGCAGGCTGGCTGCGGCGGCGGCGATCACCTCCAGCTCACCACGCTCCCTGCTTCACCGTCCCTGTACAAGAGAACATAACCAACTTCAGAACATAATGCACAGTTTGAATTACTAATGTGGTGAATCTATGAATACTTTAGCTATAGGACAGAATCGAACCTGCGGACCTGATCACCTCATGGTGAAGCCAAAGCTGATCAGGGGGGGGGGCGAGTTTGATTCCCTCGAACTCGGCTGTATTCTCTTGAATATAGCCTTATTATTTATTCATAGGTTCATAAGAATAAAGGAAATTATAGAAGGCCTACTGGCCCATACGAGGCAGCTCCAATTTATATCCACTCAAACTCACTCGTCTATATGTCTAACCTACTCTTGAAATAATCCAGAGATCCCACATCTATTATATTACCCAGTAATTTGTTCCGTAAATTAACAACCTTGTTTCCAAACCAGTATTTATCCAGGTCTTTCTTGATTCTAACCTCATCCAGTGTACAGCCACTGTTTCAAGTTCTAACAGAACAAATAGTAAAACTATAAGGTACAAAGTATGTTCGAGTTCTAGATTTTGTATCCAAGTTTGTAACACTGAATTGAAATTTGACAAATTTAACATTATAAATGTCTTGGTATTGCTTCTATACAATTTGAGCCTAGATTACCGACGTAACCTACTGAGGCCGCTGTATGTCTGAGGAAACATTATTCCCATGCTTTTAATTACAATAAACCACCAGAATTATGACTAACACAATAAAATTACAATACTGCGATAACAGTATATCGACAAAAAAATCCTTTGAGCAGGGCTGTGGCATTAAACTTGCGCCTAAAGTCCCAAAATTCTCTTTGATGCTACTATTAAGCCAATTGAATTCTCCCAAGAAGTATAGGAAAATCCCAATGGGCACACAATGTTGAATCAACGTTGGGTGGCAACGTTGCTACACCAATCCAATTAGGCGACAACTTTAGTCATGTGTGTGCATTACCTACAGTAAGCAAACTTTGGATACTTGGCTAAAATTCCTGGTAGTACTGTACACAATTTAGAATGAAGTGTAAGTACTTCATTCAAAATGATGTACTGTACTACCAGAAATTTTAGCCAAGTAACCAAAAGTTTGCTTACTGTATGTAATGTATACACATGACAGTCAATATACACGACAGTAAAACTGCTGCCCAGTTCGACGGGCGTGGAGCAGGATTAGTAACTGTAACTAACTGCAGATGTAAATTGCCTTGTAGAGAGATTTGTGGGCCACCTCTTAAACCACATGTGATATAACATGTTATTAATATATACAGTAATTAATATGAATATGTATGGAGCTTACTACAATACTGTAGTCTTTGAATGGTGAACAAAAGACCCAATACTTGTGTATTATTAAACCAAATTTTCAGATGAACCCCATATCCTTTATCAAGGTGGTGTAAAGTGTATTGAACAAGGATTCCAAGTGCTTGGATTTATATGTGTGGCAGAGCACCTCACGGAGGCGTCCATCATTAAAAAGTCGTTATGCTCCCCAGGGAGCATAAAAAAATATCCGGCAACCGGCATCCCTTATGGATGCCAGAACTTCTGAACAATGACCAAATGCAATCTATCATATGTTGGAGATACTGGCCGTGGTTTATTGAGAGAGAGAGTTGATGAACACAAAAAAAGCAGCAACAAAATTTGATAGGAATAATGCCATTGCTAATCACAGTTGGGATTTCAATCATAGGATTGATTTTAATAATACTGTAGTCGATTCCTGTATCACAACTCCAACTAAAGTAGATCTGATTAACTGCAAAATTATTCTTAACGAAGCTAAAAATTAAAAAAAAATATTAATTCGTACAAGCACACACCTTGTGGTGCTGCACTTCGATGACCAAAGTGGCTTGGTAAGGATGGGGGAGGAAAATAGGATGGGGATCAGAAATTCTGGAAATAGGATGGGGATAGGGAATGAGTGGGGTGAAAGTTCAGTGGCCTGTCCACCATGAGTTGGCATTAGGAGTGGGTCTATTACGTTTTTGGTGTACCTACTTGATGGAGTTCCGAGAGTTCTACTCCCCAAGCCCGGCTCGAGGCCAGGCTTGACTTGTGAGAGCTTGATTCACTAGACTTTTGCTTGGAGTGGCCTACTGGCCCACATGTTCACCACAGCCCCGTTGGTCTGGCACTCCTTGGAGAAAATTGTCTAGTTTTCTCTTGAAGATGTCCACGGTTGTTCCAGCAATATTTCTTATACTTGCTGGGAGGATGTTTAAAACCATGGCACCTATGGCACCCCTGCGGTTCACTGGTTCTATTCTGAATTTTCTTCCATATCATATTCTTCCTCCAGTACGTTGTTATTTTACTGTGTAGATTTGGTACCCGACCCTCCAGTATTTTCCACGTGTGTATTATTTGATATTTCTCTCGTCTCCTTTTATGCGAGTACATTTGGAGAGCTTTCAGGCAATCCCAATAATTTAGGTGCTTTATCATGTTAATGTATACTATATGTTCTCTGTATTCCCTCTATTTCAGCAATCTTAGGATTTACTCAGGATTTGTGGCCTCGCGAAGTTTTGGTACTGGATGTACCTGATCACTTTATGCTGGAGTGATTCTTCTGGTCCTGTGTGGCAGCTCTTGGATCATGTAATTACCTAAGTGTAATTACCTAAGTGTAGTTACAGGATGAGAGCTACGCTCGTGGTGTCCCGTCTTCCCAGCACTCTGTCATATAACGCTTTGAAACTACTGACGGTCTTGGCCTCCACCACCTTCTCACTTAACTTGTTCCAACCATCTACCACTCTATTTGCGAAGGTGAATTTTCTTATATTTCTTCGGCATCTGTGTTTAGCTAGTTTAAATCTATGACCTCTTGTTCTTGAAGTTCCAGGTCTCAGGAAGTCTTCCCTGTCGATTTTGTCAATTCCTGTTACTATTTTGTATGTAGTGATCATATCACCTCTTTTTCTTCTGTCTTCTAGTTTTGGCATATTTAATGCTTCTAACCTCTCCTCGTAGCTCTTGCCCTTCAGTTCTGGGAGCCACTTAGTAGCATGTCTTTGCACCTTTTCCAGTTTGTTGATGTGCTTCTTAAGATATGGGCACCACACAACAGCTGCATATTCTAGCTTTGGCCTAACAAAAGTCATGAACAATTTCTTTAGTATATCGCCATCCATGTATTTAAATGCAATTCTGAAGTTAGAAAGCATAGCATAGGCTCCTTGCACAATATTCTTTATGTGGTCCTCAGGTGATAGTTTTCTATCTAGAACCACTCCTAGATCTCTTTCTTTATCAGAATTCTTTAAAGATTTCTCACATAATATATAGGTTGTGTGGGGTCTATGTTCTCCTATTCCACATTCCATAACATGACATTTATTAACATTAAATTCCATTTGCCAAGTGGTGCTCCATATACTTATTTTGTCCAGGTCTTTTTGAAGGGCATGACAGTCATCTAAATTTCTTATCCTTCCTATTATCTTAGCATCATCAGCAAACATGTTCATATAATTCTGTATACCAACTGGTAGATCATTTATGTACACAATAAACATCACTGGTGCAAGAACTGAACCCTGTGGTACTCCACTTGTGACATTTCTCCATTCTGATACATTGCCTCTGATTACTGCCCTCATTTTTCTATCAGTCAGAAAATTTTTCATCCATGATAGAAGCTTACCTGTCACCCCTCCAATATTTTCCAGTTTCCAGAACAACCTCTTATGTGGAACTCTGTCGAAAGCCTTTTTTAGGTCCAGATAGATGCAGTCAACCCAACCATCTCTTTCCTGTAATATCTCTGTGGCTCGATCATAGAAACTGTGATCATAGAATCATGTGGTCGCTGGCTGTGTTGACGACCTCCACAGGATCCCCACAATCTGGCATGTAAAGCTGCTTCATGCAGTAGAGGCGTTTTCTTGAGAAATAGCAGTCTGATGTTCATTTTTCAGCATTTGTTAAAGGCCCTGTGAATCTGGTCCACTCGTACTCTGTCGGTGACAGTAGTGAGCATAGTGTACTATCTCTCACTACGAGTGTAGTGAGCGAACCTCTTAGTGAGAGGTTCGCAGTGAACTCTAATTCTCTTTATCACCAGCTTATTGGTGCTTGTGGTAAGGTTGAGAGGGGAGGTAACTTAAGGGTATCTAGTATTGGCCTTATGATCATTTTGTATGGGTGGAGCGATATAGGTACATCCCTTGTTGCCACGAGTGCTATTTGGCTTTGCTTGCTGATGGTGGAGACCGCATCATAGATGATATTTATTACGTGTTGGGTTGACCTGTGGCTCCTGATGCCAAACTGCTTTTCGGTGAAAAGGTGGTTGTATTCCATGTAATAGTTGAGGCGATTGGATATCATTTTCTTGAAACATTTTGGTGTTTCAAGGAGTGAGACTGGGCAGTAGTTACTTTGAGGCACTGAGAATGGGGATAATGTTCCCATGGTACATGGACCACTTTTCAGAATCTAGGACATTTAATCATTCTTCAGAAGTTCATACATACAATATACATGCATATATGTATGTGAGCGAGTGCTCGTCCACGTTAACAATTGTGTAACTAGTTTTATAAGATTGTTGCTAGCTTAGCTAAATGAACTGGGGGAGATTCACTTCCTGAACACATTATGTGCCTCTAACACTTTCCACCACTGCCCATGGGATGGATATAATAATGTGCATAAATGACTATACAGTATACAAAAACTAGCATGTGCTGCCCATCAGGGTGAGTAACCGCATGGAACAAGTGAGATCTGTGGTGTACTAGTGAAGGAAATCCGACTCTCCAAGAAATGTGTTTATCTTACTCAGGAAATGAGTTGCTCATTTTGAGCAATTAATTGTTTGCTGAATTATAAGTCATGAGTGCCCACGAGTGATATTTAACTCTGGATATGATTCTGTACTTGCTCCAAGAGTATCCCGGGGCATATGCTACTAGCCCTAAGGTATGATGCCCAAAGTGATTTGAAAAGTAGACGCTCCTTGGTGACATCCCTTGATTTTAAGGTTATCATAATACAC